ATTCTATGGGAAATTTTCATTGAAAATTTTTTTTTGTCTGAAACATTTTTTTTTGAAATCTATATGAAAAATAAGGAAATACGTATTTTTTTATTTTTTTATTTGATGAAAATGAAGGAAGTTATGATTTTTTGAAATTTAACGTCAACGAAGAAAGTGTGTTTTTGGAACATTTTTTAATCTATTGTACTAAGAAATTAAAAATTATGCTATATATAAAATTTGTTCATTTTTTCTCAAATTTTTGAGCACATATTTGAAAAATTTGAGAAAAAATGAACAAATTTCATACTCTCTAAATTTGAATAAGCGGAATCTCGCTAAAATTACCAAATTGGTACCAAAATAATCGAATTGGTACAAAAAGTACTACATTGGTACCAAAATTACCAAATTGGTACCAAAATTATCGAATTGCTACAAAAATTACTATATTGATAACAAAATTATCAAATTGGTACCAAAATTATCGAATTGGTTCAAAAATTACTACATTGATACCAAAATTATCGAATTGGTACAAAAATTACTACATTGGTACAAAAATTAACAAAATTGGTACCAAAATTACCAAATTGGTACCAAAATTATCGAAATGATACCAAAATTGGTACCAAAATTATCGAATTGGTACCAAAATTACCAAATTGGTACCAAAATTACTAAATAGGTACCAAAAATATCAAATTGGTACCAAAATTATCGAATTGGTGCTAAAATTACCAAAATTGGTACCAAAATTACCATAATTAGTACCAAAATTATCGAATTAGTACAAAAATTACTTAATTGGTACCAAAATTATCGAATTGGTGCCAAAATTACTAAATAGGTACCAAAAATATCAAATTGGTACCAAAATTATCGAATTCGTACAAAAATTACTACATTGGTACCAAAATTGGTACCAAAATTATGGAATTGGTGCCAAAATTACTAAATAGGTACCAAAAATATCAAATTGGTTCCAAAAATATCGAATTGGTACCAAAATTATCGAATTGGTACATATAAGTTTAATTTCAACTTTTTTGTTGTTTCTGTTATAGGTACGTTATTTTTGAGCACATATTTGAAAAATTTGAGAAAAAATGAACAAATTTCATATATAGCATAATTTTTATTTTATTAGTACAATAGATTAAAAAATGTTCCAAAAACACACTTTCTTTGTTGACGTAAAATTTCAAAAAATCATAACTTCCTTCATTTTCATCAAATAAAAAAATAAAAAAAAATACGTATTTCCTTATTTTTCATATAGATTTCGAAAAAAAATGTTTCGGACAAAAAAAATTTTCTAATGAAAATTTCCCATAGAATGCTCCTTGATTGAAAAATATATTTATTTGAAAAAAAAATATTGAGGAGAAATTGAGCCGAGATCAAGTGGTTAAAAGTTTGTTCGATATTCGCTAAGGTTTGCAGGGTTGTTAGGGATAAAGATTTTGTAGTGGCTCTTTCGGGTCATGTCAGAGATTGGGTCACTTTTATATACAATAAATTTGTTAGTGGAACGAGTGATACAAGTGTGCAGGTGGCTAATGCAACGAGCATCAAAAAAAAAAAAGAAGAAAAAAAAAAAATTGAGAAGAACCCTGTTTATTCTTGATGAATGATGACGATAGTGCACGTCTTCTTATATAGTACTTTGAACAATATAGCCCCCTTTCCAACGGCACTTTAATTAAGTGAAGTCAGCTCACTTATTCTTTACCTCTTCTTCTTTTTTTTTTCCTTTTTTTTTCTGATATTCGATAGAGCCAGAACTTTTAGAATCTTCTTTCTCTCTCTCTCTTCTTTTTCCTTGAGAGAAAATTTCCTATTTCTTTAACTCCATTTTAATTAATTTACAACTTGGAAATTTAAAAAAGATATTCTGAAAAATTTTTATATCAGAAAGAGGGGTTTTTTTTATTGGAAAATTTATAAAAAAAAAAAAAATTTGAAACTAATTTTTGCTAAGGAGTTTGAAAGAAATGAAAAGTATTTATTTGAAAGAAGTATATTTTTTTTCAAGTGGTTTTTCCTATTTGTGAGACGAGTGACAATTATCGAAAGTTCATAACAGAAATTTTATTTCAGAAATGTAATTGAAGAGAATTTCCGTTTGACAAAAGTATTAGGAATTTTTACTAATGTTTTTATTTTTATTTTCACTTATATGTTTTTATTTTCACTTCCATAATCAGTGAAAGTGAAAATTAGAATCAGTGAAAGCGAAAGTGAAAAAGAAAAACCATAATCATCCCCCAGAAATAAAAAAAACCCTCTCATTCTGTCCAAATGAAATATTATTCGAACATTAAAATTATTCCTAATTAATAGTTTTAAAACAATGTTTTGAAAATTAATTTATTTGAATTCGTTGATAATTAAATATACACGAAACTAAGAAGATATGTCTTATATCAAAAAGAATAGAGACAGGGATCGTTGAATAGCTTTGAAGACAGCGAGTTGGCTATTGTATCAAGTCCTTTTCTTCAACGAAGAGAGAGAGAGAAAGAGAGAAAGAGAGAGAGAGAGAGTTCCACTTTCTGTACCGAAAAATTAATTATACCCATCTGTAGTTGAAGTAGAAACACAGGGTGAAAGAAAAAGGGGAAAAAGAGCAAAAGTATACGAAGGGGCGAGCGCGCGCGCGAAGACAGAAATATTCTGACAAAACGTCGACAAGTGTTTACCGTCAGTGTCGTTACAAACCAGATTAATAGCTAGGTAAGCTTCGTTCGTGGCAATGAACCTTTTCGTTTTAACCCTTGACGAAGCGGAAGGTTGTAATTAACGTCAGAGTTTAACGACGCGAAACCATCGTTGAGAAACTCTTAAGGGGAGGGACGAAAATTGTTTGTATTGGCACGTCAAACAAAAATTCTCACTGTTTTCTTAATTTTATTTTCTAATAATAATACTTTTATCTTTTCTTAATGAGGATTCATAAAAAAATTTATACAAATTTTAAAGAGGAGAAATAATTTTTAATAATTTTTTTCTTTATTTTGAATTAATAGTATCGAATTGGTACTAAAATTATCTAATTGGTGCTAAAATTACAAAATTGGAACCAAAATTATTGAATTGGTACAAACATTACTAAATTGATACCAAAATTATCAGATTGGTACCAAAATTATTAAATTGGTACCAAAATTATCGAATTGGTATCAAAATAATCAAATTGGTACAAAAATTACTACATTGATATCAAAATTATCAAATTGGTACCAAAGTTACTAAATTGGTACCAAAATTATCGAATTGGTTCAAAAACTACTACATTGGTACCGAAATTATCGAATTGGTACAAAAATTACTACATTGGTACCAAAATTATCAAATTGCTACAAAAATTACTACATTGATAACAATATTATCAAATTGGTACCAAAATTATCGAATTGGTTCAAAAATTACTACATTGATACCCAAATTATCGAATTGGTACAAAAATTACTACATTGGTACAAAAATTATCGAATTGGTTCAAAAATTACTACATTGATACCCAAATTATCGAATTGGTACAAAAATTACTACATTGGTACAAAAATTATCGAATTGGTACCAAAATTACCAAATTGGTACCACAATTATCGAAATGATACAAAAATTACCAAAATTGGTACTAAAATTATAGAATTGGTACCAAAATTACCAAATTGGTACCAAAATTACTACATTGGTACCAAAATTACTAAATAGGTACCAAAAATATCAAATTGCTACCAAAATTATCGAATTGGTGCTAAAATTACCAAAATTGGTACCAAAATTACCATAATTAGTACCAAAATTATCGAATTGGTAGCAAAATTACTACATTGGTACCAAAATTATCGAATTGGTGCCAAAATTACTAAATAGGTACCAAAAATATCAAATTGGTACCAAAATTATCGAATTCGTACAAAAATTACTACATTGGTACCAAAATTGGTACGAAAATTATGGAATTGGTGCAAAAATTACTAAATAGGTACCAAAAATATCAAATTGGTACCAAAATTACCAAAAGTGGTACCAAAATTATTGAATTGGTGCCAAAATTATCGAATTGGTGCCAAAATTACTAAATAGGTACCAAAAATTATCAAATTGGTACCAAAATTATCGAATTGTTACCAAAATTACTACATTGGTACCAAAATTATCGAATTGGTGCCAAAATTACTAAATAGGTACCAAAAATTATCTAATTGGTACCCCAATTGTCGAATTGGTACCAAAATTACTACATTGATACCAATATTATCGAATTGGTGCCAAAATTACGAAAGAGGTACCAAAAATATCAAATTGGTACCAAAATTGTCGAATTGGTACAAAAATTACTACATTGGTACCAAAATTATGGAATTGGTACCAAAATTACCAAATTGGTACCAAAATTAACAAATTCGTACCAAAATTGGTACCAAAATTATCTAATTGGTGCCAAAATTATGAATATGGTAAAAAAATTACTACATTGGTATCAAAATTTTCAAATTGGTACCAATATTACCAAAATTGGTACCAAAAGAATCAGAATGATGACAAATATATCAAAATGGTACCAAATGTATCATGTTTATACCAAAAGTATCAATTTGAGTCTTTAGTACTAATTTGATACTTCTGGTATTTGATTTTATTCTTTTGATACCAATTTGATACTTCACCAATTTGTCACAATTGATAGAAATTTAATACTTTTTGTACCAATTTGATAATCTTGATACCAATTTTAAACATTTGGTATTACTTTGATACTTTTGGTACCAAATGTACCAAATTGGTAAATGTGAAATTGATCCCAAAAATATTAAATTGGTGCCAAAAAGTATCAAACTTATACCAAAAATTACCAAATTAATACAAAAAAAAATATTAAATTGGTATCAATTGTATGAAATTGGTACTTGTGGTACAATAATTAATAAAATATTTTTAATAATTTTATTTTTGAAATTAATTATATATTTAACGAGTTAGTGAAAAATTTGAAGAATCTTTACCTTGAGATTAACGTGATGATCGTAGAAGGTCGGAGGTGTTAGTGCTGCTTTCAGTCTTCTATTTCTATAGAAGATAAAGGTAATAGCAGTGAGTAACATAACGATGACGGTCGTCAATATTCCGATCACTAAGCCGATGAATTGCTTAGACTCAGGCTCCTTGCTTTTATCTGGAACTATATATTCTCTTTATATTATATACGTATAAATTTTGATTAAGGTGATAAAAGTTAGATTATATGTACCTAAGCTCATAAATATTATAGTCTAAACTGATATGGTAATTTCATACTATATAAGGAATTATCATACCTCAGACAATAGACAATTCAAAAGTCTAATTATATTTATTTAAAAAATTTCTTTTAAATCCCTAGGGATTAAAATTACAATTTTTGACACAAGGGAAATAATAATAAATATTTTTTAAAAAATAAAGGTAATTGTGATAAGTTTTTTTTTCTTTATTGCAATTTGATTGTAATATAAAAAGCAACAGAAAAGATTTTTTAACTTTCATCAGTTTATTTGTAGTATTTATTAACAAGCTTGAGAAAGAGGTAAAGTTCGACGTTTCAGAGTTCCGCTCTATTTAAAGTGAAAAGTAAATATACTTATTTCATTTTTTGTTATTTTTATATTTTTTATTTTTCTTTTTTTTTTTTTTCTTTTCTTCCCACCGGAACTGTCGAAGACGTAACGATGTTTTTTTTTTTTTTTTTTGAAAAAAAAAGAGGTCGCTAAATTCGAGAGTTACTTTCAACGTAATTATGGCGTCATATCATTGTAAAAATGTTATTTCAGAAATACTCATACAAGTATGCAGTTCTTCCATTTAGCTTTGCATTTTCCATTTTTTCAGCATTATAATCAGAAATGCTATTCTTTGTTTTTTTCGACTTTTTTCTTTTTCTAGTTTGAAACGAAATTTAAATGCACGCTCTTCACCATCATTTATAAATTCGAAAAAAAAGGTACGCATTTTAATTTTACGGAATATGCTGCCATGAATAAATATGTTTTTAATGAAATAATTTTTTTTTTTTTTTTTTGAAATTATAATTACATTTGTTCAATTATTACCATTTTATTGGGTTATTAATTATTATTTGAATTATAAAATTTTGGTAATTTTAACTTACAAGAATTAATATTGTTGTTGTCTTTATTGAATATTGCTTTCACTTCATCTCTTTGTAGTGGACCCTCGTTATTTTGATAAGGACTTCCGGTAGATAAAATAGTTGTGCTTTTGTTTTTTAATTCCTCATCATCTGTATTGTTCCATTCAAAAATAACTGTAAATAAAAAAAAAAAATTTTATTTTATTTTAAATTATTAATAATTGAATAATATAATAATAATCATAATACTTAATTAATTTTATATAATATATTATAATACTTATTATAATTAATTAATTAATAATAATAATAATTAATTAATTAATTTCAAAAGATAATTTTTTTATTCTTTTTATAAAACAAAGATTTATATAACAATAATTTTTTTACTTCGACATCTTTTTTTCATCTATACTATACGGTTCACTGAAGCATTTCAGAACTAGTACAAAAGCAATATAGAAACAATGAATAATTGTAATCAAGTTGTTTCATATTTTTTTCATTATTTTAAATTATTTAGAAATTTTTTTTTTTGTATCTTAATTTTACAAATAAAGGAAATCAAATTCGATGGAAATTAAATAAAACACTCTTTCAATTTGTAAATTAAGAACAATGAAAATTTCATCGACTTTCAATTTTAATATTTAATTGATCCATTAAAGGGTTTGTTATTTTTAAATACTAATAACTGTCAATCAATATTGAGGTCAGTCGCTTATAATTTGAATAATTTATATTTTTGAATTAGAAATTTTACACAATAAAACATAAAAATTAAATTTAGAATTTTTTATTTTCATCTTTGTTTTCTTTGTTTAGAAGAATTTTTATTGATAAAATTGAGATTATAGACTCATTGATTTACTTTGTTTGACGTTTGACATTGGTTAAATATTACTTTGTTAGAAAGTAACTCCACTAGGTTTACTTAGGAGTGTGGTAATAAATCACATGCGGATGACATGTTATTTGTCTATCTAAGAAGTTTAATATAATATTTATTATGAAATAGTTGAGAGAGAGAGAGAGAAAGAGAAGCAATTGAATTGAGTTGCTCTCACCAGATTCAAAGATGACTTCGCTGAGCATTATCCAACGTGCTGCAAAGTAAAGTTGCAATTTTAAGAAACGACCAGCCCTTGAATGTAGTTTAATGGTAACGTCTCGTGCTTGCTCCAATACTAAATCAGGCATATACGAAAATTGAACTGGTTCACCTGTGAATTGACTAGCTTCCCCGCTCAAATACACTTTTGCATGCGAGAAAACCTAAAAATTAGTTACAAATGAAGGTTTAATGTAGGTTCAAAATGGGTTCAATGTAGGTTTTAAATAGGCTAAATATAGGTTTAAATTAGGTCCAATTTAGGTTTTAAGTAGGATCAATGTAGATTTTAAGTAGGATCAAAGTAGATTTAATTTAGGTTCTAAATAGGATCAAAGTAGAATAAATTTAGGTTTTAATTAAGATCAATGTAGGTTCTTACTAGGTCCAAAGTAGGTTCAATGTAGATTCTAAGTAGGATCAATGTAGGTTCAAAATTGGTTCAATTTAGGTTCTAAGTAGGATCAATGTAGGTCCTACGTAGGACAATGTTGGTCCTAAGTTGGTTTAATGTAGGATCCAAGTAGGTCCAATGTAGGTTCAATATAGAATCTTAGTAGGATTAATGTAAGGTTCTAAGTAAACTCAATGTAGGTTCTAAATAGGCTTAATGTAGATTAAATTTAGGTTCAATGTAGATTCTAACTAGGCTTAATGTAGGTTTTATGTAGGTTAGAGTAGGTTTAAATTAGATCTAATGTATGTAGGCTCAAAGTAGGCTCAAAGTAGATTCTAAGTAGGTCCTATGTTGGTTCAATGTAGATCCAACTTAAGCTCAATATAGGTTTTAAGTAGGCCTAATATGGATTTAATGTAGGTTCTAAATAGACTTAATGTAGGTTTAAAATAGGTTTAATACAGGTTCTAAGTAGGCTAAATGTGGGTTCTAAATAAGCTTCAAGTAGGCTTAAATGAGGTCCAATATAGGTTCTAAGTAAGCTCAATGCAGGTTTTAAATAGGCTCAATATAGGTTTAAATAAGGTCCAATTTAGGTTTTCTGATGGATCAATGTAGGTTCAATGTAGTTTTTAAGTAGGATCAAAGTAGATTTAATTTAGGTTCTAAATAGGATCAAAGTAGAATAAATTTAGGTTTTAATTAGGATCAATGTAGGTTCTTGATAGGTCCAATGTAGGTTCAATGCAGATTCTAAGTAGGATCAATGTAGGTTCAAAATTGGTTTAATTTAGGTTCTAAATAGGATCAAAGTAGAATAAATTTAGGTTTTAATTAGGATCAATGTAGGTTCTTGATAGGTCCAATGTAGGTTCAATGCAGATTCTAAGTAGGATCAATATAGGTTCAAAATTGGTTTAATTTAGGTTCTAAATAGGATCAAAGTAGAATAAATTTAGGTTTTATTTAGGATAAATGTAGGTTCTTACTAGGTTCAATGTAGATTCTAAGTAGGATCAATGTAGGTTCAAAATTGGTTCAATTTAGGTTCTAAATAGGATCAAAGTAGAATAAATTTAGGTTTTAATTAAGATCAATGTAGGTTCTTACTAGGTCCAAAGTAGGTTCAATGTAGATTCTAAGTAGGATCAATGTAGGTTCTAAATTGGTCCAATTTAGGTTCTAAGTAGGATCAATGTAGGTCCTACGTAGGACAATGTTGGTCCTAAGTTGGTTTAATGTAGGATCCAAGTAGGTCCAATGTAGGTTCAATATAGAATCTTAGTAGGATTAATGTAAGGTTCTAAGTAAACTCAATGTAGGTTCTAAATAGGCTTAATGTAGATTAAATTTAGGTTCAATGTAGATTCTAACTAGGCTTAATGTAGGTTTTATGTAGGTTAGAGTAGGTTTAAATTAGATCTAATGTATGTAGGCTCAAAGTAGGCTCAAAGTAGATTCTAAGTAGGTCCTATGTTGGTTCAATGTAGATCCAACTTAAGCTCAATATAGGTTTTAAGTAGGCCTAATATGGATTTAATGTAGGTTCTAAATAGACTTAATGTAGGTTTAAAATAGGTTTAATACAGGTTCTAAGTAGGCTAAATGTGGGTTCTAAATAAGCTTCAAGTAGGCTTAAATGAGGTCCAATATAGGTTCTAAGTAAGCTCAATGCAGGTTTTAAATAGGCTCAATATAGGTTTAAATAAGGTCCAATTTAGGTTTTCTGATGGATCAATGTAGGTTCAATGTAGTTTTTAAGTAGGATCAAAGTAGATTTAATTTAGGTTCTAAATAGGATCAAAGTAGAATAAATTTAGGTTTTAATTAGGATCAATGTAGGTTCTTGATAGGTCCAATGTAGGTTCAATGCAGATTCTAAGTAGGATCAATGTAGGTTCAAAATTGGTTTAATTTAGGTTCTAAATAGGATCAAAGTAGAATAAATTTAGGTTTTAATTAGGATCAATGTAGGTTCTTGATAGGTCCAATGTAGGTTCAATGCAGATTCTAAGTAGGATCAATATAGGTTCAAAATTGGTTTAATTTAGGTTCTAAATAGGATCAAAGTAGAATAAATTTAGGTTTTATTTAGGATAAATGTAGGTTCTTACTAGGTTCAATGTAGATTCTAAGTAGGATCAATGTAGGTTCAAAATTGGTTCAATTTAGGTTCTAAATAGGATCAAAGTAGAATAAATTTAGGTTTTTATTAGGATCAATGTAGGTTCTTATTAAATCCAATGTAGGTTCAATGTAGATTGTAAGTAGGATCAATGTAGGTTCTAAATTGGTCCAATTTAGGTTCTAAGTAGGATCAATGTAGGTCCTAAGTAGGTTAAATGTTGGTCCTAAGTTGGTTTAATGTAGGACCCAAGTAGGTCCAATGTAGGTTCAATGTAGAATCTTAGTAGGCTTAATGTAAGGATCTAAGTAAACTCAATGTAGGTTATAAATAGGCTTAATGTAGATTAAATTTAGGTTCAATGTAGAATCTAACTAGGCTTAATGTAGGTTTTATGTAGGTTAGGCGTAGGTTTAAATTAGATCCAATGTAGGTTCAAGGTAGGCTCAAAGTAGATTCTATGTAGGTCCTATGTTGGTTTAATATAGATCCAAATTAGGCTCAATATAGGTTTTAAGTAGTCTCAATGTAGGTTCTAAGTAGGCTTAATATGGATTTACTGTAGGTTCTAAATAGACTTAATGTAGGTTTAAATTAGTTTTAATATAGGTTCTAAGTTGGCTAAATTTGGGTTCTAAATAGGCTAAATGTGAGTTTTAAATAGGCTTCAAGTAGGCTTAAATTAGGTCCAATATAGGTTCTAAGTAGGCTCAATGTAGGTTCTAAATAGGCTTAATGTAGATTGAATTCAGGTTTAAAGTAGATTCTAACTATGCTCAATGTAGGTTTTATGTTGGTTTTAAGTAGGCTTAATGTAGGAATAAATTAGGTCCATTGTAGGTTCTAAGTAGACTCAATGTAGATTCTAATTAGGCTTAATGTAGGTTCTAAGTAGGCTTAATATAGATTTAATTTAGCTTCAAAGTAGATTCTAACTAGGCTCAACGTAGGTTTTAAGTAGGTTTTTAGCAGGCTTAATGTAGGTATAAATTAGGTCCATTTTAGGTTTAAATTACCTTCAAGAAGGATCTAAGTAGGTTCTATGCAGGTTTAATGTAGATTCTAATTAGGCTCAATGTAGTTTTTAAGTAGGTTTAATATATTTTTAATTTAGGTTCAAAGTAGATTCGAAGTACGTTCAATGTACGTTTAATGAAGGTCTTAAGTAGGTTCAATAAAGGTTATAAAGAGGCTTAAGGTAGAATCAGTGTAGGTTCAAAGTAGGTCCAATGTATGTTCAATGAAGATTTAATGTTACAATAAATGTAATTATATTAAAAATTATTAATTACCTGAACGTCTTTAGTGAAAAAATTATTCGTATGAAGATGCATTGACGTAAAGTTTCTAACATAATCAAATTCAAATGTTATTTCCACAGGCTTTTCAAGCACATTCCAGGTGTCATTTCTCCAACCGACCCATTCGTATCCTGCAACAAAGAAAAAATTTTTATTTTTCTATCATTTCTATTGTATTTTGTAATTTTATTAGTAGAGCTAATTGGTTTTTTTTTGGAAAAACTAAATACTAAACTAAAAAATCGGTAATTAAAGTAAATATTTAGTCAGGGGTTCAGTTCTGTAACTTAATTTTACCTTCACTTCATTTTCACTTTCACTTTCACTTTCACTTTCACTTTCACTTTGAAGCGAAGTGAAAGTGTAGTAAAAGTGTAGTGAAAGTAAAGTGAAATTGAAGTGAAAATAAATTGGAATTTGTTCTCCACTTCGGTCCATTGTAGGTCGGATGCTGTTGGTCCATTAAAAAAGTGTCCAACTTTAATATTTTCATATTTTCCACTTAATAGCAGATATAACAAGTAATTCTTTTCAGTATTAACTTTTAGGGGCTTTGACATTCACGATATCATTTTACACCCTCTCCCATCTACTTTCATATAAGCTTTCCTTTACATCGTTCCTCGAGTAAATAGTTATCTGTTTTGGCTTGTATCCGCCATTACTTGGAATTCTGCAGACATTCCTTTTAAGATAACCACTTAATAGTCTCCATTACACACATATATATATACATATACAGCCCTTATATAATTATGGGTAATTTTATCTCTTATCGTCCTCAATTGAATTTACCATACAATTCTATTTCCAAAATAAAAAAAAAAAAAATGTTTCAATGAATTTATATTTCTATTGAAATTGTTCATCATCAAAAAATCCAATATAGTTTCAATAAATATTTCCATATGAAACAGTTTTATTCAAATGGTCCAATAGTTTTATTTCTTTCAATTTGAATATATTTTGAAATCTTCCATTTTAGTTGACAATAAATATTTAATAAAAAAAAAAAAAAGAAATTTTGAATAATTAAAAGCAAAATTATTGGATTTTTTTTTTCGAGAAAATGTAAATTGAATTTTTTTTTTGAAAACAATTTGGAGAACTCTCTTCAAGTTATGAAACTTGGATCGATGAACCAATTTTCCTTCTCTCAATATAGACTTCTATATATTTGGTGGTAAATTTGCTATTAATTACTTGTCAAGTTTTGATTATATTCAAATATTAGAAATCGACATTTATATAATAAAGTTGGAGATTTTTTTTTTTGGATTTAGGAATTTAAATACGAAATTTTGTTTAGGATTTAAATTTTAAATGAATAGAAATTTTTTTTTTTTCCTCTAGAGAAGATTAAATGCTGCCAGTGTCAGTTGGTTATATTAGTCATTTTCCATCTTTACTCAGAATTTCAAATCACGAAGCATAAAGTGCAACTACATTGAAAAACACATGCGTTGCTGCTGCCGGTGGTAAGGCACCAAAATATCCACTTGAAATGGAAAAGACACAAATGTATCTAGAGAACGAGTAAACAGAGCAACTTCGCTCAGCTTGTGGTTCAATATAAATGTAAATTGGAACAGATTCGAGTGCAACGAGCCTGTTTTCTCTCTCTCTCTCTCTCTTTCTACCTCCATCACTGAATTCTAGTTCCTTTAGTATTTTCCACAACAGCCTACTTTGCAATAGGGTTAGCAATATTGCCTTGTGGATGACGAACTTACGTAGAAATGCTCCTTCAATTCTAAAAGAATTTTCTTTTATTAAAAAAATCTCTCGAAAGTTTTTCCACTTTTTTTTTTTCATTCGTAATTTTGAAAATTTGAAAAAAAATAGTTTTTTTTTTTTTTTGTTTTGACTCTTAGTAATTGGTCAAGCGAGGGTTTAAATTGACAGGAAGTTAGAATATCTGTGGAAATCGTAAGGAAACTCAGGGAATCACATACACTGAGAAGCAATGTTACCTTTCCCATTACCGTTGACATCGAGTCTAAAGTTATCCGGACCTTTTTGCCCGTCCACCAATTGACCCAGACCACCAGAAAGGTAGCCAGCGTCTTCTTGACCATCGTATGTTCTGTCGGTGAGGTCGACTTCCGAACCTCTCTGAATTCCTTGAGGCATCGAGTACGAAACTAGTCCCTCTGAAATCAAATTATATCAAACTCGTATCAAATTCTCCTTCATGTGTATCGGTCAGTTTATTTTTCTTCCAAAAGTTGAGGATAAGATATTTCTCTCTCTCTCTTTCTCTCACTTTCTCTATTTTTCTCTTTCTTTCTTTCTTTTTGGTAGTCTCAAAATTTTTTTTCTCTCAATTAAAAAAAATAAATAAATAAAAATACAAATTAAAATTTATTTATTATTAATTTAATTTGTTCAACTTTCTATTTGCCCAAATTTTTATTTGTCCGAATTTTCATTTTCCCGAATTTTTCTTTGTTAGAATTTTTATTTTTCCAAATTTTTATTTGACCGAATTTGTATTTTCCCGAATTTTTATTTGTCCGAGTTTTTATTTGTCCGAATTTTTATTTTCCCGAATTTTTCTTTGTTAGAATTTTTATTTTTCCAAATTTTTATTTGACCGAATTTGTATTTTCCCGAATTTTTATTTGTCCGAATTTTTATTTTCCCGAATTTTTCTTTGTTAGAATTTTTATTTTTCCAAATTTTTATTTGACCGAATTTGTATTTTCCCGAATTTTTATTTGTCCGAATTTTTATTTTCCCGAATTTTTATTTGACCGAATTTGTATTTTCCCGAATTTTTATTTGTCCGAATTTTTATTTTCCCGAATTTTTCTTTGTTAGAATTTTTATTTTTCCAAATTTTTATTTGCCCGAATTTGTATTTTCCCGAATTTTTTGTTTGTCCTACTTTTTATAGAGGCAGAATTTTCATTTGTCCGAAATTACAAATGACCGAATAAACAATCGACAGAAAGATTTCGGTGAAATTTTTGAAAATGAAATCACGATTTTTTTTTTTGATAATTTCTAGTTGGTCAATTTTTGAAAATTGCTCCGAAATCTTTCTGTCCATTGCTTGTTCGGACATAATATTTGCGTCTGAGGAAAAGGAAATATTCGATTTTCAAAATTTTTTTTTTGAATTTTCACAGTAGTAAAAATAAACGATTAGTCATAAATTGTAATTTTTTTTAAAGTAGTACAAGTCAATATATAATCAGGCATAATGGTAAAATTAGTAGTACAAGTAAATATTTATTTTGGTAATTTTATAAGCAGTACAATTCGTTTTTAGTCAGGCCTAATAAAAAAATGTATAAAAACCAGTAGTGAAAGTAAAATTTCGTCAGACATTTCTAATTTTTGTAATTTCACTTCTACTATTGATGAAATAATAAAAATTTTAGATGGCTGACTAAATATTTACTTGTACTACTAAAAATATTTTTAAAAATCAAAAAAAAACTTTTATAATTTTATAAGTAGTACATATAAATATTTAGTCCAACATTTGTATGATTTTCAAGTAGAACAAGTCGGTTTTAGTCAAACATAATAAATAATTTAAAAAATCAGTAGTAAAAGTAAATGTTTAGTCAGACATGGCTTATTGTAAAATCAGAAGTAAAAGTAAATGTTTACTCGAACATAATGGCTTATTAGAAAATAAGTAGTAAAAGGTTATAAGTAGTCAGACTTTTTGTATTTTTATCAGTAGTACAAGTCGATTTTTGTCAGACATACGAAATATTGATTAAAACCAGTAGTGAAAGTAAATATTTAGTCAGACACGGCTTATTATAAAATCAGTAGTAAAAGTAAATGTTTAGTCAGACATTTAAAATTTTTTTATTTTTGCTTCTTCTATTGACAGAATCGTAAAAAATTTTCAAGTCTGATTAAATATTTACTTGTACTACTGAAAAAATTACATAACTTTGCACGTCTGACAAAACATTGACTTGTACTACTGAAAATATTTTTAAAAATCTAGAAAACTTCTATAATTTTATAAGTAGTACATGTAAATAGTTAGTTAAATATTTCTAAAGTTTTCAAGTAGTAAAAATCGGTTTTAGTCAGACAGTATAAATACATTAAAAAATAAAAATAAAAAATAAAAAAATAAAATAAGTAGTAGGAGTAAATATCTAGTCGGAAATTTTATAATTTTTCCAGTAGTACAAGTCGATTTTAGTCAGCCATAAAAAATATCCCACAAAAATCAGTAGTAAAAGTAAATGTTCAGTCAGACATTTCAAAATTTTTTTTATAACTTTTCTTCTAGTATTGACAGAATCATAAAAATTTTTTTTAAGTAATCCGATTCCCTCTCTTGTTATTTCAATAATTGAATCTTACGAAGGAAACTAATGTCTGATTAAATTGTAAAAAAAAAAAAAAATGGGAAATCATAGTCAGTTCGTTAATGTAAACGCCACTTGGTAATTTTCCAGTGACAGTGAAAATTGTCAGTTTTAGAGAAAGAGAGAGAGAGAGTGAGATAGAGAGCGATGAATTATAACTTTTTGCACGAAGTTAATCAAATATACATCTTCCTCCTTCACGCTGCTTTTCTGCAGATTTGTTCGCAAAAGGGATGTCATGGATTATTCAGGATGAAGAGAAGATTTATCAAGAGAGGGAATCGTAATACGATTTCAGAAACCGCGATACTTTATCTAATTACATTCAAATTGTGAACAAAACCATGAATTAATTTTAAATATTCATGACAAACTTCTTGTTACCAGAAAAAATGGGGGGAGAAAAAAAAAGAAAAGAGATAAAAAAACACACTATATATATGACATTTTCTTGACAAAGTATTAAATTTTTTTTCTATTTGTATTTTTTTTATTTTTCAATTCAAGTGAAATAAATATAACAATATATATATATATATATATATAGAGATAAACAGAGCAATGTTTGTGACAGTTAAGCTCATGTTTCTATGTGTAAAACGAGCCATCAACTTTGAATGAACTAAACGAGATGAAGCATTGGAATTTAGTGAATCCTTTTGAGAATATGAGTAAATCGAGAACAAAGAATCGAAAATCAATTATTATTTTTAAATTAATTTATTTCAAAATACAATTCTCTGTCAATGTTTTATTTTTTACAGCAAAAATTTGGTTCGATAAATAAATATAAATTAAACAATTTTACTTGATATGTTTGCCAATTATTGACCATTATTTGTTTATTTCACTTTTCGCATTTATCATCGTTGGTCAAAAAAAAAAAAAAAAAAACACTGTAAATTTTCATTCATTGCTTCAATAAATTATTTATTTCACGTTTCAACGAATTTATATATGAAATATGTAATACAATACTCATTCAATTGATTTGCCGCACAATTATATTTATGTGTGTATGTGTGTGTGAATAAATATTTATAGAGAGATGAAAATATGAATTTATTGAAAATTATGATAATTGAAGTATATATTAAAATTAGAATATTGAAAATCTTTGGAAAATGAGAAAATTAAAATCCTTTAAGAAATAAAATTCCATATAGGAAAATATGGAACAATATTTCTCGCACATAACGAGAGGGGGGTTTTGTGTTTTTTTTTTTTTTGCTAGATTTGAAAAATGAGAGGCAATAATTTTTTTTCGAGTTCCAAGAAGCGTGAGTTGCTAATAAATAAACAAAATTGGAGCTTTATTAAATTTACGCTCAGCAGGCATGGCTATCCGAATGTCAATTAACTTCATTGCCCCTTCTCTTTTATCGCTTGACGTTATTCTGTATTTCCGGGAGTGAGAGAGAAAGAGAGAGAGAGTGAGAGAGAGTGAGGTGGTTCATGGACCAATGGCAGCTACCAGTCAAAAGCACAGATGGCCGTGCTTGCGCGAGGCTATGGCTATTCGCTGGACCATTTCGGACTGGATTAATGCAGACCCAGCTGCACCATCGTCGGGCCATCATAAATCTAACTTAATCTCAGATATACGCGCATGACGGATATATACTCATCAAATAAAGAATAGTTAGTGAAAAAAAAAAAAATTGTCGAAAATGTCATATATATAGAAAAAAATTGATTTCCAATTTTTGAAAAAAAACAAACAAAAAAATAACAAAAACACGTTACCAATTAGAAGATTATTCAGATTTTCACGTCTCTCCAATCAATCCCTTTATCGCCAAAAGTGTAAAATAAAATTTCCGATAAAATGCAGAATTTAACAAGCGACACTTTTTTTTTTATTTGATTTTTGTATATGTCAATCAGGATTTTGTTGTATATATCTATATATATATATATAAACTATAATCTTACATTGACAAATTAAAATTTTTTTATCTGCAAAATAAATTACGCAGTAAAATGAGTTTTTTTTTGAGATAATTGGATTTATTTTTGTCATTTTTTTTTGTTCGGATCAAATAAATATTTATTCGAATCAAACAGATTTTTTTTGTTCGGATCAAATAAATATTTATTCGAATCAAACAAATTTTTTTTGTTCCGATCAAATAAATATTTATTCGAATCAAACAATTTTTTTTTGAATCAATTAAATTATTATTCGTATCATAAAAATTTTATTTGAATCATACAAATTTTATTTGAATCATACAAATTTTATTTGAATCAAACAAATTTTATTTGAATCAATTAAATTTCGTTCGGATCAATCAAATTCTGTTTGAATCAAAGAAATTTCGTTCGATTCAATTAAATTCCGTTCAAATCAATCAAATTCTGTTTGAATCAAAGAAATTTCGTTCGATTCAATTAAATTAGGTCGAATCAATCAAATTCTGTTTGAATCAAACAAATTTTATTTGAATGAAGCAAATTCTGGTTGAATCAAACAAATTTTATTTGAATCAATTAAATTCCATTCGTATCAATCAAATTCTGTTTGAATCAATCAAATTCTGGTTGAATCAAACAAGTTTTATTTGAATCAATTAAATTTCGTTTGAATTAATTAAATTCTGTTTCAATCTGACAATTTTCGTTCGAATCAATCAAATTCTGTTTGAATCAAACAAATTATATTTCAATCAATTGAATTCCGTTCGAATCAAACAAATTTTATTTGAATCAATTAAATTTCGTTCGAATTAATTATATTCCGGTCGAATCAATTAAATTCTGTTTGAATCAAACAAATTTCGTTCGATTTAATTAAATTCCGTTCGAATCAATCAAATTCTGTTTGAATCAATCCAATTTTATTTGAATCAATTAAATTTCTTTCGAATCAATAAAATTTCGTTCGAATCAATCAAATTCTGTTTGAATCAATCCAATTTTATTTGAATCAATCAAATTCTGGTTAAATCAAACAAATTTTATTTGAATCAATTAAATTTCATTTGAATCAATTAAATTTCGTTCGAATTAATTCAATTTCGTTCGAATTAATTCAATTTCGTTCGAATTAATTCAATTTCTTTAGAATTAATTAAATTCCGTTCGTATCAATTAAATTCTGTTTGAAACAAACAAATTTTGTTCGATTCAATCAAATTCTGGTTGAATCAATCAAATTCTGGTTGAATCAAACAAATTTTATTTGAATGATGCAAATTCTGGTTGAATCAAACAAGTTTTATTTGAATCAATTAAATTTCGTTTGAATTAATTAAATTCCGTTCGTATCAATTAAATTCTGGTTGAATCAAACAAATTTTGTTCGATTCAATCAAATTTTATTTGAATCAATCAAATTCTGGTTGAATCAAACAAATTTTATTTGAATCAATTAAATTTCGTTCGAATCAATTAAATTTGGTTTAAATCAATTAAATTTCGTTCGAATTAATTCAATTCCGTTCGAATCAATTAAATTCTGTTTCAATCAAACAAATTTTGTTCGAATCAGTCAAATTTTATTTGAATCAATCAAATTCTGGTTGAATCAAACAAATTTTATTTGAATCAATTAAATTTCGTTCGAATCAATTAAATTTGGTTTAAATCAATTAAATTTCGTTCGAATTAATTCAATTCCGTTCGAATCAATTAAATTCTGTTTCAATCAAACAAATTTTGTTCGAATCAGTCAAATTTTATTTGAATCAATCAAATTCTGGTTGAATCAAACAAATTTTATTTGAATCAATTAAATTTCGTTCGAATTAATTAAATTCCGTTCGAATCAATTAAATTCTGTTTTAGTCAAACAAATGTCGTTCGAATCAATTAAATTCCGTTTGAATCAATCAAATTTGGTTGAGGTTTGTTTAAACCAAACAAATTCCCTTCATAGTAACCAAAAAATTGTGTTAATACAGAAAAAAATTTTCTTATCCCTAACGCTAAGAAATCAACGTTAAATCATTGTCTCGTCCCTCACTACATAAAAAAGCATATTTCCGAGGGAAGATATGAAAGTCGATAAGGCAATTTTTTATCCGTTTTACGAATGCATGAATATGAAAACAAATTTCTTTTTTTTTTTTTGGGGGGGGGGGTTAAAAGAGGGTAAAACTCTAGAGAAAGCAAGAGTGAAGATTTAAATATAAATTTCACTTACCGTTCCAAGGGCAACCATAAAGTTCCACTCGCATACACACAGTACGTATGTGAGTTGTATATGGTATAAAGCGGATTTTTGTCGCTATTATCGGTGGATAGAAAATTTGTTCCTTCTCTTCATTCGCATTATTATTACCCACTAATAACTGAAACAAAAAAATTTTATTAATTTTATTTTTATATTTTATTTATATGCAAATAAAATAAATAAAAATTGAATTTCTTTATCAGAAATTCTACTAAAAAAATTCAATTAATAAATGTAGAGATAATTTATTAAATTTTTTTTACAAAAAATTTGTGAGTAGTTATTAAAAATTTTTCGTTTTTTTTTAAATATAAACATGCAAATATTTATTTCTTCTTAAAATATATAAGAGTACTTGTCGATGAGGGTGGAGGGAGAGGGAAAGGGGAAGAAGGAAGAGGAGGAGGAGGAGGAGGGAAATTCGTTTTTGAGGCAAGAGCCGATAAACGCACTACTACTCTTGTCAGTCAATGGCCCTCAATGAATTTTAAACGAGCTATTCAAATTGAATTGGTTAATTAGGAAAGTGCACTCAATAGCAAACGACAATGGTCAATGGAGCGTGTTTATGAATCTAAGAAGAATTCTTATGGAGCTCGACCTCATTTTCCCTCATTTCGATTAGTATATATACAATGTCCTGCTGTATACCAAAAAAAAAAATCCTTCACTTTAAATGTAAATTTTAACGTTAAAAATCAGGAAAATTAGATTTCACCATCTTATTCTTTTTTATTGCTGATTTAAATTATATTAAACATTATAGTTGATGAATAAAATGTTTTTATTTTTAAAACAACAAATCAGGAAAATTATAATAATAATAATAGTAATATATAATAATAATAATAGTAATAAATAATAATGATAATAATAATAATAATTGAAAATAATAATAAATAATCCATAACAAAAAAAAATGCATAATATTTTTGTCCAAAAATACGTAAATTTTCGATTTTCAAAATTATTTGTAATTTTCCCAGTACAAAAAATAAACTTTTAATCAGACATTCTAAATTTTTCCAGTAGTATAAGTAAATTTTTTATCAAATATAATAACTAAATCAAAAATTAGTACTAAATTAGACTATCTACCTTTTTGGAAATTTTATCAGTAGTACAAGACGATTTTACTCAGACACAATTAATAGAAATTGTAAACTATTCAGTTAGATTTTCTGTATTTTTCTTATCTTCTCAGTAATGCAAGGAAATATTTAGTAAGATTCTTTACTTTTTAGAAATTTTATTAGTAGTACAAGTTGTTTTTAGTCAGACCTAATAAAAAATGTATAAAAACCAGTAGTGAAAGTAAATGTTTAGTCAGACATTAAAATTTTTTGTATTTTCACTTCTACCATATGATAGAATTATAAAAATTTTAATTCTGACTAAATATTTACTTGTACTACTGAAAAAATTACAAAACTTTGCAAGTCTGACAAAACACGGATTTGTTCTACTTTACCTGTTTTTTTAAACAGTTGTACTACTGACAAAAATATTTATGAGTCTGCCAAAACATTGACTTGTACTACTCAACATATTTTCAAAAATTTGAAAAAACTTTTATAATTATATAAGTAGTACATATAAATATTTAGTTCAACATTTGTATAATTTTCAAGTAAAACAAGTCGGTTTTAGTCAAACATAATAAATAAATTAAAAAATCAGTAGTAAAAGTAAATATTTAGTCAGACATGGCTCATTATGAAATTAGTAGTAAAAGTAAATGTTTAGTCAGACATAATGGCTTATTAAAAGATAAGTAGTACAAGGTTATAAGTAGTCAGACTTTTTGTATTTTATCAGTAGTACAAGTCGATTTTAGTCAGACATAAGAAATATTAATTAAAAACCAGTAGTGAAAGTAAATGTTTAGTCAGACATTAAAATTTTTTTATTTTTGCTTATTCTATTGACAGAGTCATAAATTTTTTTAAGTCTGATTAAATATTTACTTGTACTACTGAAAAAATTACATAACTTTGCACGTCTGACAAAACATTGACTTGTACTAATGAATATATTTTTAAAAATCCAGAAAACTTATATAATTTTATAAGTAGTACATGTAAATAATTAGTCAAATATTTGTAAAGTTTTCAAGTAGTAAAAATCGGTTTTAGTCAGTCAGTATAAATACATTAAAATCAGTAGTAAAAGTAAATTAATAGTCAGACAGAATGACTTATTATAAAATCAGTAGTAAAAGTAAATGTTTAGTCAGACATAATGGCTTATTAGAAAATAAGTAGTGCAAGGTCATAAGTAGTCAGACTTTTTGTATTTCTATCAGTAGTACAAGTCGATTTTAGTCAGATATAAGAAATATTAATTAAAAACCAGTAGTGAAAGTAAATGTTTAGTCAGACATTTAAAAAATTTTTATTATTGCTTCTACTATTGATAGAATCATAAAAATTTCAAGTCTTACTAAATATTTACTTGTACTACTGAAAAAATTACAAAACTTTCCAAGTCTCACTAAACATTGACTCGTACTACTAAAAATATTTTTTTAAAAATACAAATAAAACTTTTATTATTTTATCAGTAGTACAAGTCGATTTTTTATTCTTTTTTCAATAATTATTTTTTTGTAATTTTATTTATGAAAAAAAATTTTTTGAGCGTAATATTTCATTTCTGTTGAAAATTCATTCACCAAAAAAAAAATTCGTCATCGAAACGAATTTGTTAAAACGTTTTCTGAACCTCTAACACCTTTTGTAATCATTTTTTTTTTTTATTGTTGCATTTCACTTTTTTTTTCTTCTTCTATTTTCAACGTTATGAAAGTTTTTTACAATCGTTGAAATCAAATGAAACTATTTTTTGCTCCACTTTTCATGTTGGTTTCATTCTCATTTTTCAATAACGAACTTTCGGTCTGATTTGGTCTTCCGATTTTACGTTAATCCAGTTTGTGAAATTCTGCCCTTTGGGGAAAGTATTTTCCACTGGAAAATTTTGATCACATACTCCCCCCACCCTCCACCCTCTATTATTCAATAAAAATGTTTTCAATGTTCTACTACGTTTATTCAAATTGGTATATATATATATATATATATATATATATAGAGGAAAAAGCGAATCGTCCGAAAAGTTGTTTTATTGCAAATGAATCGAAATTACATACATCCCCCTTTTTTTTTTGTAGTCAATGTAATGCGCTACAATACCCAATATAATGAATTTGCCGGAATTATCCGTTATATATCCAATTTGTATACAAAATTATTCCAGACTATTTGTTTTTGACATTTATTATATATTTCGATTTTAATTTAATAAATAAATATAATATAAATATTTTATTATTATTATTATTTATTGTATAAAATAGAGATGGAAATTGTATTTCAAAAAGAAATAAAAAAAAAAGGATTTTTTTTTCATAAAACACAAGATTCAATATGACAGCATTGAATAATCATAACGCAGCTCTTTTTTTTTTTTTTTAGTTGTTGTTGCAAAAAACTGAATTTTTCTCTACAGGACAGTGAAGTTACATTTTAGGTATTGGACGAGGATAAAGTTAACGAAGCAAAAATTGTTGACCGATAGCTTATGGCTGGCGCGTATCTCGTCCGTGACGTTTCCTACGTTGCGATCAGCCATTTGATATTTTCCCGATGCAGATACAGTGCAAATGGATTCGTGCCGTTTCCATGAGCTTTTCCGTTTACGATGCATGCTATCTAGTTCATAGTATATATATATATATATATATATATATATATGTATGTCCCACACGTATGACAATCGTTGACAATATACTTGTTCATTCTCTCTCTCTCTTTTTTTTCTCTATTTGCAATATTATATAAACTATATATACTAAAGAAGAAATATAAAATAAAATTGTGACTCAATTTTATTTATATTCAAATAAAATAAATAATGATTAATTGGGAACTCTCTACTTTTAGTAAAAAATTTTAACTAATTCAAATCAGTGACGTACTTTTTGACTTTTAATTAGTTAAATTTTATTAATTCGATAAATTTTTGTAATGTTAGTTAACTTTTACTATTTCAAAAGCAAAAAATTACTAATTCAAATTTGTTCAATAATAACTATAAATAATAATATAATAATAATAATAATATAAATAAATAATATATAATAATATAAATAATAATTTTACTATTTCAAAAGCAAAAAATTACTAATTCAAATTAGTTCAAATTTTTACTACTAAAATTTTTCACTATTAGTTAAATTTTACTAATTCAAATGCAAATCATAAGTCACTCAATTGAAATTAGTTAATATTTTTACTAATTCACATTTAAAGAGTAACAGAGAAAATTAAAAGGCATTAAAATAAAATGCAACGCTTATTATTTTAATCCAATTTTGCTTATTTCACTGTCTGACACGATTTTTGACCCACAAAAAAATGCCTTACTAGGCATTTACTTTTACTACTGATTTTATAGTATATTTATTATGTCTAACTGAAACCGATTTTTACTACTGAGAAAATTATAAAATATCTGACTAGATATTTACATTTACTACTTATTTTCTAATACGTCATTATGCCTAAATGTTTACTTTTACTACAAATTTATACTTCATTCATTTTTGTCTGACTGAAACCGATTTGAACTACTGATAAAATTATAAAATGCTTAAAAACATTTTGTTTTTCTACTGTTTTTATAACTTTATTCATTATGTCTGACTAAAACCAACTTCTACTACTGATAAAATTACATAATTTGTAATATGTCTGACTAGATATTTACTTTTACTACATATTTTCCCCAATAATTCATTGTGTCTGACTGAATATTTATCTGTACTACTGACACAATTACAAAAATTATAAAATGACTGACTTGATATTTACTTTTACTACTGATTTTTTTACTGTGTTTATTATGTCTGACTAAAACCGTATCGTACTACTGAAAAAATAAAATCTCTGACTACATATTTACTCCTACTACTTATTTTCTAATAAGTCATTTTGTCTGACTAAACATTTACTTCTACTACTTATTTTTTATAAGTCTAACTATTAAAAATTAATATTCTAAGTAGCTTAACTAAATAATAATTTTTACTACTATTTTTATACTTTATTCTTTATA